TACCAAATCAGGTTTTGGCGCCTCGTAATTCATCGGATCATAGTTTCGAATCTTTGGCATTAAGCGCTCATCGTATATGATGCTAAAAAAAGAATGTTTTTTTTTAAATAATAATAACAAAATAATCAAATTCATGTTTAGTTTTTATATACATACGTAAAATCGTCACCGTCTAGATCTCCTCCACTGCATTCACTAGGAATATCACGATAGCCCACCGCTGGGAATACCACCACATCGACAAGGTGACTCAAATCAGGGCATGGCACTGCAGTAACGACACGTATGTCTCCAGGATGAAAACAAGGATTACGGTACACAATACAAGGTCCCGTAATCACTTTCCTACTGGAAGGATTTGCCGGATCAGAGACGCAACAATACACCTGACCCTCTCTTAAAGCGTCCATTTCGTCCAAAACTCCTAACAAAAATGCACCTTTGTCTACACGAATCTTAGCTTTTTTCTTAAGATCCCTCAACATCATAATGCTGAATAAAGATATCAAGTTCATTAGATATCTATCTTTGCTCTGTAAAAATCCGGCCTTCACAAGGTCTGCCAGAGATTTGGTTACGCCGTGTTCATCGATGTTTTTATGTAAAACAGTTACGGCGTTATTCTCGTTTTTAAGCATTTTATCTAGCTCATTGACCTGCGCATTTTTCATATCAATGAATACATTGTCGGGTACTCCTAGTACAGACAACAATGTAATAGCTTGCCTATTGAGATATGCTGGAATGAAGGTAGACCCTCTGATAACCTCCAATACATAGTGGTTCGACGCGAACTTTTCTTGGCTCGGACGCACTTGAATTTGATTATTTCGCAGATATTTTGATTGGCATAATACTCCTTTATACCCAGCAAGTCGAAATTGGAGCGCACTAGGAACGGTCTTTAGTTCTAAGGTGTCGGCCACTCTTTTTGATAAAGCATAAGAGATCTTTCCTACGCCGTCTGAAAACGTATAATTATTTCTTATTAGATCAGGGATTTTTACGATATCGTTAACTGGCAGACGCGCGATTGCACGAGTACTTGAAAAACATTGCCCCATACGAGCAGCATATTTGGCGACACTTTTATTAGTTGAAAAGGTCCCCATCCATTTGCGAACATCATCCGCAGATTTATCAGCGGTTGGAGCAAAAAACCAACATGAATGATCTCTCAGTTGACTTGATGAAAATGCCAAAAATTCGTAGTGCCTATCCCCGATCTTGATACCATCGCATAAAACTTTGAAAATCTTGTTATACAAGGCATCGTTATGAGTTCCATTGGTCGAACTAACTTTGTTAGATGCTTCATCCACGAATTGGACACGCAAAAAGTTGTCCTTCATATGGTGAAAGTGACGTATCACACGATTGGAAGTCTCCATGGTCGGAGCCAAGATGTACATGGTTGTTGGGGTTACTACAACCTTACGCATCATTGCACAATAGGATGGCACATGCCTCGGCTTCCTCTCGACTTGTCTCATGGACTCATATCTTAAATACGACAATGGATCAAACTGACGTTTCTTTTTTGCATAGATCGTCTCCATGATGTATGTTGCTGATTCTGTTGGCAGACTGTTCAACAGTGAAAAGAACTCGCTATTCAAATTATAGTCGTGCAAAAAGTTGAATGAAAGGTTACATTCAACCATATAAAGAACGTCATAATTTAACATTGAACGTTCCACGCATTTGCGCATATTAGTCCCATCAACAATACGTAGCGGCCTTTTGTTAATGGCGTTCTTGGGAGCTAGGTTGTATTCGCTAGCTTTTTGCATCATCTCCTTGAATAGAATGAACCCTTCTCTATGAGTATTGGCAACTCCATCCAGGTCAAAGGTAATTCTAAAAACAACCCATTTGCCCAGTTGTTCACTATTATCTGGCATATGTGGTTGAAGGGGTATACCATCCGTATTACTTTTTTTTACTCGTATTTCAGTTTTACGCTTCCAAGAGTCGGACATTCTCCAATTGAATTGATTTTTTGATTGTAACCTATTGTCGAACATCCAATACCTTGCAGGAAATTTGTTAGCAATAGTTATTATTCCCCGTGATCTTTGTCTTGAGTCATCAAGTTCAGCATGGATCTCACCGTCGATATCCTTAAATTCGATTTCCATCTTAAACATGTAATATTGTTGTAAGTTCTTAATACCAAATTCAACAGAAATATTACGTTTTTGATAATTAATGGTGAATTGTACGAGTTCAGAATATTTCACTTCTGAAACAAAAACTTCTGGTTGCATATAGACGCCCAACTCTAAACTTTCCGCTCTTAACGAATGAAACCTTAACTTAAATTTTTTATTATCAGTATAGTCACAGAAATGATCCGACATATAGTCCAAATAATCAACTTGTAAGTCTTTCCCGTGAAAACGTACTGGTTCTCTCCAAAATGGAGTTGAGGGCACGGGCCTGTTTTATAATAATATTATCAATTATTAACCTAGCTTATAAACTTTAAATATCAGAGACATAAAATTATTTAAAAAAAAATAATTTTACCTAAACGTAACACGTACAGCTCCGGTTGGCTGTTCACCCTCCATGGAATCTCTCGTTTCAAATTCGACTTTATAAATGTTTCCATGAGAAGAGAATGCCTCTCTTATTTCCGAAACGTCGGCCTTTTGAGGGACTTTACTAACCATGAAAGTTATTTCGACGAATCTCTTCCAGTCCGGAGGGGGTTCTTTGTAATCACGCATACCACTATTATCATAATGGTTCCAACCATTTGAATAACTGCGTCCGCCCATATTATTGCTACCGTTGCGATAGCCTCCGTTGCGATAGCGATGATATTGATTGTGTTGCGGAGTTCGATGATTTGTATAGTTGTTATTAGGCGGGCGATGGGTTATCAACTGCATTTGGAATGCCTTTAGATATGAAAAAGTGAGAAAAATAAAAAGCTCACTTTGATGAAATTGTCCATTGCAAAAGGAAAGTTTATATAAAACTTTCGACCAATGAAAGCTTATGAAGTAACAATCATGTGACTGTCAGAGATAATCGATGTAATTGTTCATTTCAAAAGGAAAATTTATATTAAAATTTCTAGATCTCATGATGTAGTGTTATTGTTGTCACAAAATAAGTTTTTGAATGTAATTATTTATTATTTATAAATCCGAAACTTATCCAAATACTAAGAATTAATACTAAGAATTTTTTTTTTTTTGTTATCGTAGCAGCAACAGCAATTTTCAGGAGAGCTTGGCACACAATGTAATCTATAAAACTCGATGGGAAGTGCCACATTTGTCTCGTGCAACGATTGGATTAGTCGTGTATCGTTATACAAAAATGCAAACAAATTTATGCATACGCACAAAAAAAAAAAAAAAAGAGAGACCTAAGAAAGCATAAAGTTCGCTATATGTCATTCGCGTTTATTAGATTATGCAACGCGCCTTCTGGCATTCTAGAAACTATGATTTAGGAGTCAACAAAATAATATGGCGATACGGCATTTACCATATGCCGTAAATAGTGTAACAATAATATCATTTGATTTAAATCACATGATTGATTTACTAATCTACGAGGTAAGTAGTAAAAAAATCATATCATAATTAGGTTTGAATTTTATTTATACATAGAAATATGTCATCAATTCCAAGAAACAGTATCATCACCATTCGGAACGATGTAAGGATGATGATTTCCGGTGATTCACCAGAGCACCGCAGACACATTCAATGCATTACAAGATTGATTTACATCACACTACAGAATTTGTTTACCACACAAAAACATCATTGTATGTATGTCATTTGCCCATGTTTCTTCGGTCATTTGATGACAATTCAAGCCGCAAT